CACTCCGGGCTCTCGTTTCACTCCATGGAGGCAAGTGCATCTCCGATCAACTGATATGCAGGCTGGTCATTACGAGGGTTCCTGGGGGGGCAGGGAAGATGCCTGATGCATCGGAAATTGGATCCTTGGAACCAGTGGGTATTTCTTTCCGTGACGATTGCGTTTCCATTGCGATATCCCAGGGGTCTCAGGTCGTCGGCTGTTGTTTGCCTGGGTATTAGTCCTTCCTGATAACGGAGTGAAGTTATCATTATTGAGTTGCTGGTGGTGAAGTGAATGGGTGCGGGCTTCCCACGCTCTTAATGTTAAGTGTGCAGGGTGCAAGTCTATGTGTCGATTGATCGACTCCTCTTGTGAAAGCCACGCTTCTTTAAGCAACCTGCCACTCTTTGTAACGTCGCTGGCAACCACAACCACACCCTCAAAATCAAATTTGTGCCCAAAGTCCATCATGTGCGTTAGGATCTGGGAGTATTGCTCTCCTCTTCTTATGGCCAACTTATGCTCCTGGACCCTTGTTTTCACCCTCTTAGAGGTCTCGCCCACATCGTTAGAGGGGCAGTCCTTACAGCTGATTTCGTACACAACCCCCAATTTCTCTGCTGTGGGGAGTGGGTTTTTAGGCCTCATGACACATGAGCATAATGTACGGTCAGGTTTATGTGCCACCCTCATGTTGTGGAGTGCCAATAATCTGGCCGTAGCCTCTGAGACATTGCTGACATAGGGAAGGGTAACACGTGTCATCAGGGATGCTGATGCCCCATCTGCTGAGTATTAGGGGGTCTATAGAGTACACCATGGCATTTAATAAACCTGGCTGGATACCCATTCAGCCTACAAATGTGAAAGAGATATTTCTTCTCTTCCATCTTGGCTCTGGCCGTATTGCAGGTCAGAACCGGGTCAGCAAAGTGCTCAATGCCCTGAAACGTGGTAAGAGGATTGATGATCATACCCTTATGGGGATACGCCCCAGTGACACTGCTATGGCTAGGTTTTATGGGCTGCCTAAGGTCCACAAGGAGGGTATCCCTCTTTGACCCATTGTTTCCTTTAGGAACACCCCGATCTCGGGCTTAGCTAAGTGGCTTGGCCCATCGTATTAGCCACTTGGTCGATGATAGCCGCACCATCGTTCGATCGGCTGAGGACTTTCTTGACAGGATTAGGACCCTGAGGATAGAGGATGATGAGGTGATGGTGTCTGTTGATGTCATCTCCCTCTTCACTTCTATCCCACAAGACCTGGCTGTCAAGACTGTTAAAGACCTCCACCACCGCAAGGGATCGGGCCAGTACCAGGATTCCCTGGTACAACCAGCCTGCATATCAGTCGATTGGAGATGCACTTGCCTCCATGGAGTGAAATGAGAGCCTGGAGTGACAGCTTAACCACACACCCCACAGACATACAAGGGGAGAGCTACTGTAAATCTTCTACTGAAGGAGTGATTACACGATCTTGGAAGGCAATACAATTAGCCGGGGTGAATGATGGCGTATTAACTGCACCAGGATCCACATCACACTCCACATCGCATCCCACTTGGGGAAGGAGCGAGAAGAGCCCACTCACTAAAGTATACAAGCAACCATCTCTGGGGATTTTAACTACTTCGATGATCAGTCAACAGAATTTACAGTCCAGCCCCCATAATGAGTTGGCAAAAAAGGGGAGAACAACTGTTACGGAGTGTAATGAGACTGGAAAGGCTGGGAAAATGGTGCGTGGGGGAAAGCCATGCAGTGAGAGCACATGCAGAATATCTAGAGTGAGTCTCCGTAATAATAAACATCACGATGTTAAGGATAGACGCCAGGATAGTATAGGGGGTGAGGGCTCTGAACTCACAGAAAATTGCAAGGAAGAGAGAAGGGGAAAACGACTTGGTGTTGGGGATGACATCTCAAGTTGGAATAAGATTGAGGATCCTCCTAGATCACGGATATGGATGAGTGGAGAGTCAGAAGCTTGTTTTAACTTTGATGAGGGACGCGTGATCCAAGTAGATGAGTCACTCAATTATGCAGCAATCACAACTAATGCTATGATTGGCTGACCTGGGCCCATTACGCGGTCCAGAAGCTGAGTGCAGGCGTTAACTTACATATAAATGTTTACTCCCATTGATTTATGTATGCCCTGATGAAGTTGGCAGGAGCCAACGAAAGCTAGGTTGCTAATTTTTTAAAACTTAACGTTTTATATTTAAAACTTTTGTTTTATATTAAAACTTTCAACATTTTAACTTTTCCTGGTGATCAGATTTTATTCACAATATGCACACACCCAGGAATCATGCTTCTATTTTTAGTATTCTTTTATATATATATATGTGTGTGTGTGTGTGTGTGTGTGTGTGTGTGTGTATATATATATATATATATATATATATATATATATATATATATATATATATTTGAGAAAATTAAAAATATGAACCCTGGGAGTATTCATGGTGAGAAATAAAATGATCACCAGGGTAATAAAACTATAAAATTTAATATTTTTATAGTTTTATTACCCTGGTGATCATTTTATTTCTCACCATATATATATATATATATATATATATGTGTGTGTGTGTGTGTGTGTGTGTGTGTGTTGTGTGTTTATATATATATATATATATATATATATATATATATATATATATATATATATAATGCGAGTCTTAGGTATATTCATGATAAAACTAAAAACATGGATCACCAAGACTAAAAATTTGTTAAAACTGAGCTTTCATCAGCACCTGCTGACATCATCAGAGTGTAAGCCAGAGTGTAAGCCAGGAATAGGAATCACGTTCTTATCATCTCTATGAACTGCTAGCTTCACAGAGACTATAAGAATGTGCTTCCCACTCCTGGCTTACATTCTGATGACATCAGCAGGTGCTGACGAAAGCTCAGTTTTAACAAATTTTTAGTCTTGGTGATCCATGTTTTTACTTTTATCATACACACACACACACACACACATATACACATACACACAAAAAATAATCTCATTAGTAATGTTTTTTTTTCAAGAAATTGTATAAACAGACATATATTTGCATTTCAGTTTACTGAAATCTTCAAATCCAAACTGGTCTGTGGGGGCAAATGAAAAAATCACTGAGCTCTGGAAAATTTATAATGAACTGATTCCATTTTAGAAACTGAATATGGAATTTTAAATTTGGTGATTATGGAAGAAAATATGATGAAAAGCTTCTGTAATGGTTACACTGATTTCTTGGTGATGGTTCTATATATATATATTTTTTGTACCTCAGCTACTGAATCTGTGTCTCATTTTTATAGTAAATGTGTTTTAATGATTTTTTTTTACTGTTGTTAGCTGCCTACAGCCATGAATTTGAGATAGGTTAATGTATAAATTGAATAATTGAATTGAACAGATGAATGAATGAATGAATGGCAGAAGTATGGAAGGTTTCTCTGTGTAGTATTGATTAATGAGTGACAATGCAATTTATATTGGTTCAACATGTTGTCAAAACATTTATCAAGAGACATAATTCATTTTACATATGAAATTCTTAGCATACCTGTCATAGGAGATCTTTTACTTTTCCTACTGACAACTACTTTGCAAAAGGAAAAGTAAAGAGCAACCTATTTTTATCTTAGTCATCGACGAGCCACCTTGTTTCTCAGAAAATAATCATAATAAGAAGAGACCAACTTTTCACCCTTGCTCCTGCCAAACAAAGAAAAACTGTGGAGAATTTTGGTGCCTACCAGAAAGATGGAATACTCTACTTATAACTGACAGTTGAAACAGGAAGCAAGAATCAGCCTCATCAAAAGTCAATTAGCCAAAGCACCATAAAATGTTACTCTTAGAATAATACAATAAGGATGACACGCAAATTCATGAAGCGTTCCATATTTTTTGGGAAGGAGCCGAGGTGGCGCAGCAGTTAGAGTGCAGTACTGCAAGCCACTTTAGCTGACTGTGTTCAGCAGGTCAGCCTTCCATCCTTCCGGGGTAGGTAAAATGAGGACCCAGATTGTTGGGGGCAATGTAAATATATATATATATATACATTGCTTACTGGTGCACACCGCTTAGAGAATGCTTGCACTTAAAGCGGTATATAAGTCTCATAAATAAATAAATAAATAAATATCAGCCCCCATCTGATACAGATGTACTTGTATATTTCTCTATATTTCCTTTCTGCTTTCTTTTCAATAGATATTTTTTCTACCATCCTTGTAAGGAAGGAAGACATGACAGTTCCTTAGTCACTTCTTTCAAAGTTACATAATAGACATCTAACTATAAAAGAGATTATAAATATATTTAAATAACCTCTGAGTCAAAATTCCAACTCCAGTAACCTCATAGATATCTCCATGAAGTTTCCTTGGCAGTGGAAATTGTTTCCTATTTCTTTCTTCTAGGATTTTTAAAATTTCCTAGTCTAGCCTATAACTCTGGGATTCACTTGTATCCTGTCAACCTATTATAGTGACCCATGCCTGATCAAAGAACAAATAATAATTTGAGCTCTCCAAAAGGCAGTCAAAATTGCCCTATAAAAGCAATAGATTCAATAAATAGGTCAAGGGTAACAATACTATCAAAGTATTAAATTAATTATTTACACCAGTAAAAATAAAATGGACAGATTGTTTGTTTCTGAATTGCATTTTTATGAAACAATATGTATTTACAGGTGCATCTAGCTTCATTTGCTGACATTTTCACTTGAAGGGATAACTGAGACTGAGAGTATGGCTGAGACTGAGACTGGAAAGGACTTTTCCCTGGGACTTTACAGGGAAGTGTAAAGGGAACTGTTGAGAAAGATAATCAAATATTAGCATGTTGATATTTATCATTGGTATTTATAGTCACTTCATTGTTTTATTGTGTGAAACAGTCTGAGACACAATTTCCTTTCTTGTGATATTTGTTTAGGCTTAAAGCATGAGTTCTTTGTTTTAATTACTTTAAGCTATATTTGTATTTTTTTCAGGTGCTGCCTTGTCTGTTGAATCAAATTCTTTTACTGTTTCCCCTGTTGCTGTATCAGAAAAAGCTGCCATCATCTTTACTGCTCTCCTGTGTTCAGTAGCCTCCATGCTTGTTTTGGGATGTGTTGTTATTTGTTGGCTCAAGAAAAGCAAGAAAAACAGTAAGTCATGAATTAGAATGATGATTATCAACCATGATTTATAGGAAAAAAGGACTTTGCAATTAGCAATAGCTGGTGAAAGAATGTTGCAGTCCCCCAGTTACAACAGGGATGTGTAAATGCTTTCTGCTGATCCACATTTGTTTTGCTTGAGCCTTCTGTGCTGGTTCTTGATGGAGTATCTTTTGGGCCACTTTTCCTATCACCAGTGGCACTGTGTTCCCGATGAGTGAGACAAATGGGAACAGGAGACAAATTAAGGAAGGGGGGAAAAAAATAGCCACTGCACATTTTTTTATGCAAAATTGACTGCTTCGTTCTTGAACCAGCACTCAAACCAGAATTAGATATTTCAAAAATTTGGCACGCAGCTATTGAAAAAATGCTTATATTAGAAGTAATAGACACATAAAATGTATGTTGGCAAAGCTAATGTACAAGAAAGGCTACGAAGAAAATAAATTCCAAGTACAAAAATTTATATGAAAAAGTGTGTATTAGAAGCAGTAAGTATGAAAAATATCCTGGAATAACATTCTTATTGACTTTTAAAAAATGACTATCTGATACAGATATAAAAAGATACTAGCCAGGATGGAAAAATGAGAAACAATAAACCTGAATTTTATTCAGTTTCACTCATCCCAGCTGTGTCAAATATGATATAATCGGTACATATTATTACGGTACATGTTGCCTTGCATTTCTTTTACTTTTCTAACAACCCAGCAGGATAGAGTAAGATAGGGAAATTTCCATGGTCTCCTCCCAAGTTTCATAGTTCAAAAAAATCCAACAATGCTTGGTCAAAGCTTCTATTAATATAATCTGGGTGTTGGAAGTACTAGTGAGCTGACTAAAAGCCATTTAAGTTGCATTATGTAGTCAAGTGTTTCAAGTAACAGTCACACTGTTTGTATTCTTCTTGAATTGCAGTTCAATTCAAGTTAAAAGAGTCTTAATATTTCAAGCTGCTGAAATGTCAGAATTCAAGCATTTATGTTTAATTTTTTTAAATTATAATGTTTATAATTATACATTTATTTGTCAATCCATTGCTCTGGAGAAACTGTTCCTGTAAAAATCAACAGTATGGACTAGAAGACCTCCAAGGTCCCTTCCAGCTCTATTCTATTCAAATGGTTCTAGATGGGCATTTTAATATAAATAAATGGTGAATTAATGAATGTTTACTGTTATTCTCATTAAGCTCTTCAAATATTTTGATGTAGGAAATAAGCTCAGACAATCTCTGAAGAATAAAAAACGCCCCCAAATAAAGGAAAATCAAGTAAATTGCAGTATCCATCAGCACTGAACTGGGAAAGAAAATGAACATTCCACTTCTATGAGAGAAGGTGAGTTTATTGAATACCAAAAAAGGCTGCATCCCACTACAAAGCATATTTTATCTGAAACATTTTAGCTATAATAATTTAGACCTCTGCCTAGAAGAGATTTAATTCTCTGAGCTGGACTTTTCTGATACAGTTCCCCCTCACCAAGTACACATACACACAAGGAGGGAGAGTATATATGTAGGCATATGTGCGTATGCATATATGTATGTACATGTACATGCCTCAATTGTAATTATTGCTTAGATGTAGATTTTAGATTTAGATTTTTTTGGGGGGGGAAGGGGGTAACTCCTGGAGAACAATTTTTGTTTTCTGTTAGTCTCTTTTGTGACAAACAGAACATAGATTTGATCCTCCAACATTTTAGTTCAGAGGATCTCAAGAGAGAGAAAGGAAATCATTCGGCAACACGGGGTGAGGTATCATCAGTACGAGGATGATACCCAATTATATATCTCCACCCTGTGTCCTTTCAGTGAAGCAGTCGACGTGATGTGCCGGTGCCTGGAAGATGTGAGGGTCTGGATGGGGGTGAACAGGCTTAGACTCAACCCTGATAAGACCGAGTGGCTTTGGGTCTTGCCTCCCAAAGGCCAACTGGATGGTCCATCTTTAGTCCTGGGGGGGGGCAAATTTACCTCCTCAGTGCAGGCACGCAACTTGGGTGTCCTCCTGGACTCACAGCTAAATCTGGAACAACATCTATCAGCTGTGGCCAGGGGGACCTTTGCACAGGTTCGACTAGTGCACCAGTTGCGGCCTTATTTGGACCGGGAGGCTTTACTCACAGTCACTCATGCCCTTGTCACCTCAAGACTGGATTACTGTAACGCGCTCTACATGGGGCTACCCTTGAAGAGCGTTTGGAGGCTGCAGTTGGTTCAGAACGCAGCCGCGAGAGCGATTGTGGGCGCGCCAAGGTACGCCCACGTGTCACCTATCCTCCGCGAGCTGCACTGGCTTCCTGTGGGTCTCCGGACGCAATTCAAGGTGTTGGTTATCACCTTCAAAGCCCTTCATGGCATAGGGCCAGGTTACCTACAGGACCGCATTCTGCCGCACAGCTCCCAGAGACTGGTGAGGTCCCATAGATTGGGCCTCCTTCAGGTCCCGTCGGCCAGACAATGTCGGCCGGCGGGCCCTCGGGGAAGGGCCTTTTCTGTGGTGGCTCCGACCTGGTGGAATCAACTTCCCCCTGAGGTTCGAACTACTCCCACCCTGCCGGCCTTTAAGAAGGCTGTTAAAACCCTCCTGTTCCGGCAGGCCTGGGGCTGATGTCCCCGGGGGGCCAGGATATGATCGGACTCGCAGTATGACTGCTTTATTTTATTGTTTTATGATTGTTTTAACTTTGTACGCCGTCCTGAGTCCTTTGGGATTGGGCGGCATATAAACACTGAAAATAAATAAATAAATAAATAAATAAATAAATAAATAAATAAATCTGAGATTTTGAAAAGGTACAGGTAGTCCTCGACTTACGACCAAAATTGAGCCCAAACTTTCTGTTGCTAAGTGAAACATTTGTTAAGTGAGCTTGCCTCATTTTATGACCTTTCTTGCCACAGTTGTTAAGTGAATCACTGTGGTTGTTAAATTAGTCAAACTATTATTAAGTGAATCTGGCTTCCCAATTGACTTTGCTTGTCAGAAGATGACAAAAAGGGATGACATGACCCCATGATACTGCAACTGTCATAAATATGATACAATTGCCAAACATCTGAATTTTGATTACATGACCATGGGGATGCTCCTACGGTTGTAAGTGTGAAAACTGGTCATAAGTCACTTCAGTGCCATTGTGACTTTGAACAGTCAGTAAGCAAGCTGTTGTGAGTCCAGGACTACCTGTAGTATTGAGCCAAATGATTCAATCATATTGCAGGCTAATTCTGCCAACTGCCAGCAGTTTGACTCTTACCGGCTCAAGGTTGACTCAGCCTTCCATCCTTCCATGGTTGGTAAAATGAGGACCCAGATTGTTGGGGCAATGTGCTGACTCTGTAAACCACTTAGAGAGGGCTACAAAGCACTGTGAAACGGTATATAAGTCTAAGTTCTATTGCTATTAAAAAACTCACTTTTGAAAAAATATTACTTGAAATAATTGATATTAAATATTGATTGGCTAGATTTTATATTATCTATATTATGAACACTTTGCTATAAATTGTTTTGATCAATCCTTTGTGAGTTTAACCATCTATCAATCTATCTATGAAAGACCATGGCAATTCTTTTGTTTAAAATGCTACTTAAGAACACAACATCTAATTGTTTTGATATATGCAAGCTTTACATTTTGTCATAACTTGCCCTTAAAGAAACTGAGAAAAATTAGGTAGACCCACATAAAACATTTTATGAAAACTGAATGGATAGCTTATTTGAGACAATTTTATATGTAAAATTTTGGGGAAAAGGAGTATCTGGAATGAAAGTAAAGGACATCCACTGGTCAGCATGAAACAACTTGTCATGGCCAACATGCTGCAGGAAAATTTGCCGTGGCAAACTCATCGCTAGCCAACTCATTGCTGGACAATTCAGATGAATTGTCCCACGGTGAATTGGACACATCGAGTTGGACTTGGCAAGTTGTCCTAGACCCCCACTAGTAAAATTGTTTTGCAGTCATTTGCAAAATAAAGGCAGATGGATTATTTGATGTTTTTTATTCTTCCTTTTATACAAGAAGTTGAGCAGATTCCTGTCTTATTGAAAAAGCAGAAAATAAGTTTAGATTGTTTTTTTTTTCACTTTTCTCTTACAATATTACTTAGTGGAATAAAGGCTTTCTCTAGAAAGAAGAGTTATTGCATTTGTTTCTGCAAAGTGAAATGGCATCTGTGGATCAGGTCATAATGTCTCCTTGCATTCTTTCAGTTATTCAGGTAATCTGGTAGATAATGAAATTTAAGTAAAAATTTAGGATTTTTAAAGCTCTATCAGTTATTTATTTACTCCATATTCATAGGAATCAATTTTTATCTGGAAATTGCAACTAGCAATTTGTACACTTCAGTCAACTAGGTTTTTTTTTTTCAAATACTTCCAACAATTCTTCATTCTTGCTTATTTAGCCATGATTTTAAACCTATTTCAAACTGCTCTCCTTGTTCATTGGGGGGGGGGGAATCTTTCAAATTTGAACCCCTGCAATTGATAGTATCTCAAAGAATGCACCTGGCAACAAATTTCTATGCTAGAGTTTGGTTTCCATTCGTGTTCTAGGGTTGGAGGCAAAGAAGGGCTAGATTGGCAGTTTGTCTATAAAAAATTAGCCTCAATTTTTTTCTCTCTAAAAATTATTGCTTGAGAAGCACAAGTATGTGTATATGCTGTAAATTGGGGAGAAGAATGATATGTTATTCTACTGAAGGTAAGACTAAGATAGAATGTAAAAAAGAATTGCAAATGCTTTTCTGGATTCAAACTTGTTGCATATGATGGAAGCAGAAAGAAGCTAGTTTTAAGTTTCATTTTCTGATTTTAATTAATATTTATTACAGAAGAGCAGAAAGAGCAAAAAAGGAAATGCTACAGTTTGTATGTTTTGATATTTGCTATACCCTTTCAAAATACAGCATTCAGCTGTATGCCTTAGGATACATATCTGCTATAAATTCATTTTTTATCTAATTTGTCTGAGATCTAAGCTTCCTGTGGAGGTCTGAGATCAAAGGATCTGATTCTTTCTGATGTTGGCTCTGACATATAATGTGTGCTGACTTAGTTCTGTCTATAAAATCACAGTAGGAGACTGTCAGAGTCCTTTTGGAACCTTTACATAGTGGACTTTTATTTCAGCTGATAAGGATGACAGGTACTACATTGATTGGAGCTCACATGTAAATAATTAATGGGAAGATTTCCCCCCCCCCCTCTCTCTCTCTGCAAAAGAAAATCCAGGTCTTTAGATTATTTTTTAAAAGAAATTGCTGGAAGATCATTTTAAAAAAAAAACCTGATATATTCAGATTTAAATAGGAGTAACAATATACTAAGCTAATGTAAAATGCATGACACAAAGCATCTAATTTTTTAAATAGCCCCTACCTTTTAAAACATTGTTGCTTTTGAAAATAGAGGGACCGTCAAAGGTAGTTATTTCTCCTTCATTTTTGCCAGCTAATTTTATTTTCCATGGAATATATTTGATGCAATATATTTTTTGGCATTTTAACTAGTGTTTAGGGATATAAAACAGAGTAAACCAGTTTAGAACTTAATATAACATAAATCATCGAAGAGATTAGATTTGCTTTGATTTAGCTACTTTCATCCAACTGCATAATGACATAGGACCAAATCCAAACATTTTCCTTTTGTTGATAAAAGATTTTAATCAGCAGGTTGGGGGAAGATATAATTTTCATCCATTTCCCCTCCTTTGACTCTGCTCACTTTCCAAATTCTCTTACAGAAGGATACTTTCTAAAGCCAGCCATACAAGAATTCACTGATTAGCCCTCCCTGTTCTACTGAAGGAAGCTTTGCACTGGCAAAGGAAGCTGCTCTTGGTTTTAAAGGGTCACCATATGTAGGCCATCATAATGAGAAAATATGTGTCCTCTTTTTTTGTTTGTTTGTTTCCTTGTTTTATTGCTGGAGTATAATCACCATTTTCAGATGATTAGATGAAAGAAAGAAAGAAAGAAAGAAAGAAAGAAAGAAAGAAAGAAAGAAAGAAAGAAAGAAAGAAAGAAAGAAGGAAAGAAAGAGGGAGGGAGGGAGGGAGGGAGGGAGGGAAGGAAGGAAGGAAGGAGGGAAGGAAGGAGGGAAGGAAGGAAGTTTAAACTGGGACAAAGTATGAAAAAGGAAGACAGCAAACACCGTCTGGTTTGTTCCCTTTCCTTTTTGGCATCTAGGCTCAATAAACAAATTTTCCATCATGTGTCAGTAGCTGTTGAGCAGGTTTTAAGAAAGCTGAGAATGTATTAATTTACTATCATCACTGACAGACAATGTTTTTTCTAACAGATATGAAACTGTGTGAAGAACTTACAGAAGAGCCATTAAAGAAGTTGCATCAAGGAGCATTGAACATCCCATTAGCAGGAACAGCAAAAGAAATCACAAAAGACCATTGGTTCCATAAAAGGGAATCAACCAGGGAATCTGTGGAGTTTCAGGAATTGCACATCAAGGAGCTTAATGAATGGAAGAAGACCAAACAGCATATCATTGACTATGTTCAGCATAAAGAAATGAAAGGAGAGCAATTCATAGACCAAAAATATAAAAGACACAAAGAGATGCCTGTGACAAGATCTGAAGAAGATGTGAGGGGAAAACAGGAAGTTACAGTATCATAATATCCAAATGTTCCTGAGTGTTTGGCTGCTTTTGGACTTTTCATTCTTAATGTAACTGCATATTTTGAGATATAGAAAATAGAGACAACCTGTTTAATTTTTAGAGTGAAATGAACAAAGACAAGAGGGCAAGCAATGTTCCTATGAACTGTTTCTAGCACAAGTCACTGGAGATGGTTTCAGTGCTGTTTTGTTATCTCATGATCACTGCCGTTCCTCTTACTGATTTTAGCCATAGTGTTATATATATTTAGCCATGGTGGTGCAGTGGTTAGCATGTAGTATTGCAAGCTAACTTTGCCAACTTTCAGCAGTTTGATCCTGACCAATTCAAGGTTGACTCAGCCTCCCATCTGTCCGAGGTTGGTAAAATGAGAAGTCCTATTGTTGGGAGCGATATGTTGCCTTTGTAAACCACTTAGAGAGGGCTGTAAAGTACTGAGAAGCAGTAAACAAATCTAAGTGCTATTGCTATTGCTATACAAGATGTAGAATGGTATGTAGAATGTAGATGTAGAATGTTTTTGCTTGCCTGGTTACTTGCTTATTTAGTTATGAGCCTTATTTCAGCAAATAATATTAAATCATTATAATCATTTAAATTATAAAATTGTTTAAACTAAATAAAATGGCTTAAAATGCTGTCATTTCCCATGGCTAAGGCAGTGACACAGAGAGACTTTTCCAGCACCATTTTCAAGAACTGTGTCAAAGTCTTATGAATAAAAGTTGATTTAGAATTTACACTGGCCTTTGGAATTAGCATCCCCAAGGTAAATTTTACTCTCTCCAAATTGTTCTCCTATAGCATGTAGTCTACCAGGACTCACAAACAAGCAGGATCTATATAGAAATGTCTCTCACCTTTAGCATTAATGGATGTAAAGAATTTCAAGTGAAGGCTTGAATCATTCCATAATTTCTGATAAATTATACCTAATGATGTAAATTTTCCATTGGATTAGCACTGCACGTATTTTATGCTATTACTGTAATTTCTAGTGAAAATCATGAGAGTAGTTCCATGTGCATATATGCATACAATTATTGTGCACATTTGCTTTACAAGTTAGTTTTTATAACTAAGACATCTTAGTTATCTACTGTTCTCTGAAATTCAATACATCCATTATTTACATTCCTCTGTAAATAAGTGTCTGATTTCTTAAATAATAACTGGATCCCAACTTTTCAAGAATGGGATCAATGTGAACCAAACAATGGGAAACAAAGATTTTTACAGAAATTGAGAGCTACAGGGTGGGAAATCCTAGCAATCTGATTGGTTGACAATGCTTAAGGAAGCTGGCTGTTTGTACGGTGGTGGGTAAGCAAGGCTTCAATTCTTTGGCTCAGGTGGGATTGCAGGGGCCCATTATTTGAAGATCAGTTTGGGGCTGATAGGATTGGGCAAAAGTCAGGGAGGAAGGATGTGCAGCATCTCTTTGGTTTCTCACCAATATTTTCTGCACCCCTTTTTTATACAAGAAAATATTGGTGGCCAAAACCATGGTAACAATTCTTTTTAGTTTGCTGTTATTAATAGTTTAGGGTTTAAATTAATTATCTCATTCTAATTTATTTCTATTTATTCCACATTTTGCCAACAGTACAAATTATGTTTAGCTAGTTCCTATCTGGAAAAAATACTAGAGAATAGCTTAACTGTGGATTGTGGCTTTTAGTTATGAATGCATTTGTTGAGAAGAATTCTGCCTCTTATCCTCTAGTCTAGTGTGACAGTGAACAGGGTTTGACCTTCTGTATGACATCCTTTTAGGTATTTGAGTAGTAATATCATATGCCTTCCATCTCAGTCTTTGCTTCCCAAAGCTAATTATTCCTAATTACTTAAATTTCTCTTTGAGTGGACTTAGATTGTATCTCTAGTCTAGATATCATTGTTAATCTTTTTCTGAACATACTGAAATTTGCCTGATGCTTTTTTCAAATGCAATGTCCAGAACTGACCAACTATCAGTTCTGATCCAAAGGGATAGACATGCACGTTAAAAAGGGACAGGACTTTGATGGTTTAAAAAGCAAAGTGACTATGGCAGATCATCCTATTCTGTGACAAGTTACAACTAGTCTGTAGACATCTTAGTAATAGTAATGTCAAAAATTTCTATGGATCTTTAAATATATTTTACCTTATTGTGTCAGTCATTCTATTAATTTCATATGATTATTTCTTATGAAGGTAACTTTTCTCCTTCAACTTCAGCCAAGAGTATTATTCTGTTCCTTTACCACAATGAAAGTCTTGAGTGAGGAAAGATTTGAAATAAGCTCATTCCAGGCTACTCTGACTTCTGAAACCTGAGCACAAAAGGAAGATGAAACACTAAGAGCAGATACATGCTTTAGGATGATGACTTTATCAAGTCTTGACTTTGGAATACTAGCAGTGGAGGACACAAGGGGTAGCTGAGGTGGTAGGGATCTTCCATACAAATTGGACTGGCCGCAATCTAGCCTAAGCCAAGAGATTGTAGTGTGGTTTATATTGGGTAAGTGTGCATAAGTGCATTTAGTACTGCTACTTAGCTGTTGTTTTTAAGGTCTTTCTTTCAGCTAGAGAAGTGCTTTATAGAAGAGATGGTGGGTCTCTGAGATAGTTGTTGGGGTTTTAAAGGCCAACACCTTAATTACATCTGATAAACAGTTGGCAGACGGTATAGATGGTTCAGTATGTGTGATTCTGGTACTTTGTTCTGGTTAACAGATTAATTTATTCACTTGCAACTTCCAGATTCTTTGTAAGAGTAACATGACACAGAACCCATTAAACTAGACAAGTTGCAATATAACTGAGGCATGGAGAGACACATCCTTTAACAATAAGGCACAAGCAATCAAAGGCCCAGAATACTTCCTACCTCTTCTCTTAGTCACCAAAAAACACAATAAGACCGATAAGCCTTTGTTCCCAAGGCCTCCCTTGAAGACTGGCTCCAGAAATTGCTAAATTTCATCCAATTAATTATCATAACTAATAACATCCATGTCATCAAACAAACACATCATTGTATTAACTCGATTAATTAATAATTCAATCCAAATCTAAAACATCTCAATTTTCTTCATTCCATTACATAATAATTTTCATACAAATAAACGTATCATTCTAAAAAATACATTCTTAATATTCTAGATTCTATTCTGACTTCCGGTTCCAGAACATGGCGACACTGATCGTGCCTGGAGACTTGTCTCCATGCCATCCGGAGTTTCCTTCGCCAGTAGACCCCCTAGAGGGTCGAAAGTCTCCCTGGAGGGGCAACCACGGAGGAGGAGGCTTGCTGGTAGATAGGGGAGGGCAGCAGCTTCCCCCGTGTCTCCAGCTATCTCCTTAGGGCTGATGGAGCAAAGATCTGCCTGCAAGATGGCCGATCACCCTGCTGCACCAGCCGAAAGTCACATTGTCATCTAAGCATTATAGACCACAGATGATCCGGGTGAGATCCCTTTTGTTCCTCTCTTCACCCCATGCTGTTTTTCCTGTAAAAGCTTGTCCTTGGAATTATTTCCCCGTCTGGAGAAAGCGGCTTTTGTAATTGTGGGAACAAAGGCATTTTATAAAAGGACAGAAAAAAATATTCATTTAAAGACTATACTTTATCTCTATCTACTTTGAGGTACAAAAAAAATGTTCTTTGTTTTTTTGGGGGGTTTTTTTTGAGCGGTATTATTTTATATTGGGAGAATATTTCCTTTTCCACTCTTTCTTTAAGAAATAGAAAAGAAAAGGAAAAAAATGTCATTTGAAACAGACTTTTTAGCTTACTGAGGACATCTACTGGTCAAAAGTTAATATTGTAATTGTTGACTATTTGGAGATGATTTTGGCCTTCAAACTATTTTTCAAGAGACAAGATAATTTGAGCCAGCTGTGAGATTTGTGGGGGTGGATACTCTTCAACTGTAGCCTCCACAAAAAAAGAAAAAAAGAAAAAAAAAGGATTGCTTTTCAACTATTGTTAAAATGGAGAAGCCTCAATCACATTTAAACTGTAAACTTATACTGGAAAAGATCTATGAGACCAAAGAAGAAATATGCACTACAATAAAAGAGTTTACTATAGAATTAAGAGCCAAAATCTCTACTATAAACCCCCAAATTGACACCTTACACCTGACTACTAATTAATCTTACACATGATTACTCTACAAAACAGATTATACAAGAAGAGGATTTAACTGAGAATAAAGAGAAATTTATCTTGCCTTATAAGCAGTCTACTTAAGGCTTTGAGGACCAGGAAAAGCAAAGATTGAGTTTTGAACTTTTGAAGCAATGAGGACTTATGGATAAGAGAAACAGAGGGCCAATGCAGAGACCAAGATGGTTTTCATCAAATCAAAGGACACTACAAGCAACAAAAAGAGACTTATCAGCTGGAAGGGAAGCTCTGCTATGGAAACCTGCTTGGCATAAGAGGAAGGCTAGAATAAGATTGAAAAATGAAATTTAAAATTTCATGCATTGGACTAAAGGCAATCTAGAACTATGGACTGATTTAAGGATTAAGATTATGAGTTAGAAGTAAAGAGATGTTTTAGACTTGGATTGAATCAATAATTAATTGAATGTTAATCAAATAAGATGACTTGTTTGTTTCATAATATGGATGTTATTAGCTATGATAACTAATTGGATGAAATTTGTATTCTGCTTAATGGATTAATATGAATTAAGGTTTGATACTATTCTGTCACCTTAAAGAGATTGATTAATTGATGGATTAGATATGTATAGGATAGATAGATAGACATGTACATTTAGATATATATAGAATAGATCAATATTTTTGCTTAAAAATGAGATATTTTCTATATAATGGATTAAAGGTGCATGACTTCTTTTCAGCTGGTAACTATCTGCAACACGAACATGTCTCTGCTACTTCTTTTTGTAGTAATATCCTCGTGATGCTGCTTTCAGACAACCTTAATTCATCCTTAGGTGTATGCATACAGTGAAAAGACATATAAAATACGATTTTATTGTGAATACAAACTTATAGTGTTCACCAACCATTAGGTCAGCAATCAGATTTGCCTGACAGCTGTTGGTTACTTTAGGTCCTCTAGATTTGGTCTCTGGGAACTGTATTGTGTTTTGGGCAGTGGGAATGTCTGGTTCTTTCAAATCAGGATTCCCCATTGTATGTATTTGTGTATATATCTATGTATGCATTTATTTTTATAAAATGTATTAGCCACCCATCTTATCATAGAGTAACTCTGGCAGCTTACAGTCATAAAATATGTCTATACATTACAATTAAAACATAAATAATTAAAATCAAACATTAAAGCCTAAGGACACATGGGGAGGGTGGAGTGGAGGAGATGGACTCTGTTGTTACTCGATCATCCACCCCAACTGGGGTCCCAAGCCGACTGGCAAAGCCACATCTTTAGGCCCTTACAAAAGGACAGGAGGATTGGGGCCAACCTCATATTTCGGGGGGGGGGGAGAGATGTTCCAGAGGGCAGGAGCAACAGCAGAGAAGGCCCTCCTCCTGGACCCCACCAGCCAGAATAATTGGGCTGATGGGACCCGCAGCATGCCTCCTCTGCTGGCACGAGTGGGACAGGCCAATCCCAGTGGGGTGATTCAGGTCTCTGAGTCAGTCAGTGGTGAGGAAGGAATTGCATTGTGACATGAGAGACTGAGGAAATTTCTCTCTCTGGTTCTTCATGGTGAAATTCTCCCTATGAGAGTAAGCTGTTGCTTGGGCTGCTTTTATAAATGCATTTGGTATGCTTCTTGACTATTGTGCAATTCATCCAAAAGAAGCCATACAATGATATGCCGTAAGGTGGGTTGTATACAGTACAACTAAAGTTATTCTACCAGTATATCTCTAAACCACACAAATGTGCTTCATTTACATGGGTTTTGCAACAAGATAACTGCTTCATTTATTTAATAAACAAATCTATATGGCTGACTCTAGGCGGCTTATAGCATTAAAATTCATGCCTTGAGAATCCCAGAGAATTTGAAACCATCACTTGATCTTTAGGTGGCTCCATTTCCCCCCCAGTCATTAGCTATTCAACAAGTTGTCTGAAATGGTAAAAGCCCTGTACATTCCTTTTTGGCATGCTCTCTAAATATTTGGATAATCCAGTTCCTTAGACCTAGAGCTCCAGTTCTTCCCCACTTTCACCCTTGTTCACATCAAAGCCAAATTCTGTATCCTGCTTTTTTTTCCTACCCATTTCATAGATCCATATACATATATTCTCCATTGTTTTTTTTTTTTTAACTCATTTTAACAAAAGCCATCCAGAGTTGTTTGCTGTGAGATGGGCAGCAAATAAATTCAATAAATAAAATAAAATCACGACAGCAACTGTGTTTTTAATATTTTTTTTTCACAGACAAGGACATTAGTCATAATACAATTTGGTCTAAATGTGCCAATAAATTTGTCATTGTGAAAATCACTGCCCATTCCTCTGCTTCACAGTAAACATAGGGATAAAGTGTTGGCAATGAAAATTACTGGAGTATTTTAAAGTTGCCATTTTATGCAGCATAATTACTAGCAAGCTATGTCGGTCAGGCATGAAAGTTGGAAAAAAGGCACAAAATACAATCACAGCTTTTCTTGTTACTAAAAAATATTCATTTTTCCCCTCCAGGATTAATTCGGGGATTATATTTTAATTTTTCAGTTACTAAACAGAAAAGTATTTCACTAGAAAAGAATGGTATTAAAGAGAAATGATTCTTCATTTGCCCTTAGGCAAAGACAGGATTTGATTTGATGTGTTACTTTGGAATCTGGATTGGTATCCAGAGATGAGAGAAGTGTTTAATATAATTTACATTTCATTTTCTCACTTGACACGAGTCTCCTGTCACTCATCAAATGAAGGGGTTTAGCAAATAACTTTTGTCAGCATGAGAGAAGAGAGGATATTCCTAGCAATTTCCCCCCTCTTGTATTATTAATATGCTGGACATACATACATATCATATTTGGTAGTAACTGACAATGGGACATTGGTGGGATCCTATCAGTAGCCAGTCTGAAGGGTATCAGTGTGACAGGTGGACTGATTTCCATCCTCTGCCTGCTTTTGACCATTAGAACTATTAAAACAAAGTCTGCAACCCTAAGTAAATTGTCACAACTGAGGA